TATCCTCCTCATGCTCTACCTACTCAACCGTGGATCCCGCCGCGCACTTCTTTGCCTCGATACCCTGCTCCATTTGGACCTGGCCCTGAGCTCTACATGGACCCTGACCAGCCGCCACCATCGTAGCATTTTGACTACCTGGATTCTGATTCTTCCCCTCGCCAGTTGCAGGATGCACTTTTACTGTGTGAGACCTCTTACTTTGCACGATGTGAGGACTTAGTTTTAACCTTTTTCCCTTCTGTTGTTTTTGATGTTGTGGATCACACTTATTAAGTTTTCGCCTTCCCCCCCTCATTCATTCACTGCATTTTTTTGTACTCCCACATTCCCCGCACCTGCAGCCATTTGATTCATCACGCATTCATTGCCCCTTTTCCTTGCCTCCCTTCCCATGGAGCACTTCTAACTACTTCTTTTTGACCTAGATAGAAAACAATGCCTGACCGCCGCCGCATTCTCTCTTTCGGTTGAACCCATTTTCACCATTCGCCCACCCACATACTTGACATGCCCATGCCCTTGTTTCTCCACACATTTCCCACTCGTGACCGCTGCCATTTTTCAGCTTGAACAACCGTCCCACTTGTCGCCACAATCTGCGCCCTCCCTTGGTGTCATGCCTCGCGATCGCACTTCGAGCAGCTCTCCTGACCATCATCGTCGCCCGTCGAAAGTCTTCAATCTACTAGTCTGCTAGTGGAGGCCACCAGGCCTGGACCTACAAGGCCATTCCGTCACTACACCAAACACTTTGTCGTCGGACCTGCGGATCACTTTTCCACATGCTGCTGTTCTCTCCTGTCCATGCCACTACCACCACCTCCTACACAAAACCTTCCTTCCCTCCCCTGCAACCACCTGCACCTGTTTTAACACCTCTCACTCACGGCATTCTCTTGATCAAGTCTCGCCTACGCGACCTTTGGCCACCTGCACTTCGTCTTCAACGATACAAATGGGATCGCCGACTACCTTCAGCCTAAAGCTCGCCCCATTGTGTCCCACACCCAGACGGTCTGTGCGCCACTTAGCCAAACAGTGGCATCTGCCGTCTACTGCATCCTGCGCATGGTTTTTTCTCAATTGATGATCCTGTCTGACGCCCTCCAGCTACTTCGTCACATCTGGCACCTCTTTCAGACCCTCACTCCAACTGACGACCTCGTGCTCTATCAACAGGACATCGCTGGTTTCTTCAACTTTGTCACTCATCCACGCGTGACCTCCGCAATTGAATACCTCGTCCTTCGTTACGCCGCTCTACAAGGACTTGATCTTCGAGATGATCCCACGATAGGTCCTGTGGTACATAGGGTATGGTTTGCGGCGCGTAGAGAACATAGTACACGCGCGCAGGCACATTGGTGAGTGAACTTGAAGGAACGTCTTGACAAATCAGCTCTCACACACTTGGAAGGATTGGAACATCATCCCTTCGCAAATCAATGACAGTGTCCAGTTTGTCAGTTTGTCGTTTGACCCAGTTGTTTCTGTACCGTGCTGCAATGCAACTCCTTGCGCGTGCGCTAACGACTCATTTTGCTCTCATTGCTATTGGTCTATTGACTATTACGAGGCGCTCGCGGCAACATCTAAATAAGTCAAAGTTGAAATCCATTCCAAAAGGTCGTGAACACCAGTGAGGCATGGGAGAAACAGGCGCTTGAGTATTAGTGCAAGACTCTACTTTCTATTCCCTTCGTCTCTATTCTATTGAATAGTCGCAGGTTCAGATTCGTCAATGCGGCCCAAGAAGGTAGTAGAACTCAGAAGCGCCGACTGTACTGCGCCCACTGAAACAAAAGTACAGTTCAGAGTGTGCCTGCGCTACGCACACCAACTTTTGATAGCAGGATCGCTGCCCCCCCCAAAGCGGGTACAGGACGACTGGTACCATGGGCGCAGTATAGTTCACAAGCACAGAACGGTGGGTACATCGCTGCAATAGATTGGGCCCATATCTGTGGCGTAAGCGCGTTTGTTTTGCAACAAGCAACGGGGGAACGTAGCGAGTGGCGAGTTGATGGTAAGGAACCAAGGTCGCCAAAGAGTATGGCTTCTTCGTTGGCTGAAGAACCTCCACCACGTGAGGTTTTGCCTTCAAAATCGAACTACCGTGCCAAGAGATGTTGGATTTGCAGCCGCAGGTCTTCTTCTGTGTCCATGTTGTCTAGTGGGCACTGTGCTGGCGAAGTGGGAACCCTTCATACCTTGGCATTGAGATTCCAAATATGGACCAATTTGGGAGGAATGTCTTGAAGCTTACTGCATGCCTCAATCTATGTCTATATTGAATTCCCTGGTGGATTTATTGTTTTGTCTATATATAGCTATGTTGTAAAAATACAGCTCAAACGAAAAACGCAATGCAGGCGAAATTTCAAGGAGGCCTGCGTTGTGGGTCAAAGGAAAACTTCTTCAAGGTGAAGGGTGAGTAGTCGCCAACCAAATGATCAGAGGTGCACCAAGTGTCAACTGTACCAAATGTGCACCCCACCCCACCAAGGAAACACATTAAAATCATACCAGGCGCACCACTGTACTGCGCCACTTTCTCAACCGCGTCATGTTACCACGCAACCGTACCTCCTGTAGCTTACGCACCTCAATGCTTCGTGTACCGCGCCTGAACGCAAATAGCTTACAGAAGCTACAAGTCTCACGATGATTGAATCTAGATAGCCCTTCGACGCAATTTGGCAGAGACCACCTTGTGAGTAAAGTTGATGTTTGCTCCGCAGAGGAATTTGGCAGCCAAAGGATTTGTGCTAGACTAGACTACACCTTCTGGCGCGGTCATCGGAACCCAGCTGGCAATAAATGCCTGTCACATGGTCCACGCGTCTGAGTTTCTGAAACTCTTGATCTTGCGTAGGCCAGATGTCTGACGCCAATACTGAGCACACGCTTCCCTGTTGCTTGGCTGGGGCACTCAGGCGCGCAAGTCACCAACCTCTTTCATCAAGGGCCGCTTCTTTGGGATCCTGGTTGGGCGGCGCTTCGAATGCCGAATGCGGAGTCGCCATTTCCTTGCCATTACTGGGGCTGGAAACGTTGCCTGACGTTGGGCCTGTTCCAAAACGGCGGAGCTCGCATGTAGGTCCCCCCGCCCTGTCTTCAAGTCTTGCCCTTGATTGAATGTTCATTGCCCTTTTCTTTCTGTTCTTCTTGCCGAAGGTGGCCAAGGCAACTGAATCGTCCTCATGCCCGGGGTCTTCTTCAGCCCCGCCAAATGTCCATGGTGTTCTCCTTCTTCATCTCCAAAGTCAAGGCCCGTTTCGGCCTGGCCTCTCATCCATTCCTGCCAAGTGTTAGACCTCGCTGCCTTAAAAGTGGCATGGTGACCGATCGTGATTTGGGCACACTTGTCGAAGTCGAGGGGCATACACAGCAACTGCGTGTTGATCCGCAAGTGGAGTCCTTTCGTTGCCCTGATCTGGAAATGCTCATAGGCCCCTTCCGACTGGCGCGGGAACTTGCTTTCCTGGATGTGCACCGCCAGCATCTGAAGTCTCTCCTCCGCCGTAAGCTTGTCCACTCGCAGAGGAAAACCCCCCGCCAATCAGTCCAACACTTTAAGGTCAGCCTATCCTTCACAAGGTCTGCCAGTGTCTTCTGTTGTGAAGTCATGGACTTGTATGATGAACCCTTCTTCTTCTTCTTCGTCGTCTTCTTCTTTCTCCGGCAGCGCCATCGTCGAGGGAAACATGTCTAATCCGCCCTCATCCAACTCCTCCTCGTCTTCGTCTGGGAGATTCTTGTGATTCCTGATCCATCTTCTGCACCTTCTCACATTCCTCAGAGTGCGCATCAGGGTTCATAAGCGAGACTGCCTCCACGGGTCTCCTGCGTAGCGTGGTCTCGCCTCCAAAACGAAGGCCACAGCCACGGACCGACGGACATTCCGAATTCGGTCTGGCGTGTAGGGTGGCAGCGATTTTCTCCCTCCACAAGACGGGCCCGAAGTCAATGCCAATGAGGATCCGGGTGTCAACCTGCAAAAGCACCGCAGTCTCAGTAGAGCTCCGCTACCTGTACGAAACTGGTCGTGCAAGGCGGTCAGCGGGCTGTCTTTTTCCACAGTGACTCAAGGGCCGCAAGAGTCCAAATGTTGTGAAACAAAGGACAATTGACTACACAGTTGACACATTTGTTCACACCCTGGCGACCCTGGCGCAAACCCTGAGACGGATTCACATAACTTATGTAATGTCCCCTAGAATCCAGGAACCAAATCATCCCAGTAAGGCTCAGACTTCTTCAAGGAAACTCTCCCCCTCGGATAAGTGGGCCCCAAGCACAGGCAGGTCTACACGCAAGCAAACTTAAGACCCGGAGGGTTGGGATGCACCGATTTGCTCGAACAAAAATCGAATACAGAGATAGATGTGCTGCCCTATGGCTGGTGGTGTGAATCCTCTTAATTAGTGACGCTGGTGTGGCAGGCATGTCGTCCATGTGTATACTGCACCATGTTAAAGCAAACACAGCTGAGTATAGAGCTGAGATTGAGCTCTCTAGGATGCGAGGAATGAATAGGAAAGCAAGGAAGACTGACACGGAGGGAAATGGAGCAAACAAACGTATAGACAAACAGGTAGAGATGCAGCAAGCAAAGAAACATAGAGGAGCAAAGGAAAGGGAACGGAACAAACATCCTGAGCAAAAGGACTCTCAACCTTGGACCTTACCCAAGAAACTAATGAATGCCTCAAATGATGCCGACGGATCTAACTACATACCTCAGCCACAAAGCAAAGCCTGACTTGTCAGGGGTGGTGCCAATGTTTTGTAGCTTTGCTATGCCTTGCTCTCGCTGAAGTTAAAACAACCAACATACTGGCTGTCAAAGTGCCTTACGCGGAAGCTGTTCTGTTCAGCTGTCTGGCTGCTAGCCCAAAAGCACCAAACCCAAGGAGGAATGAAGTGTGAAGGTGCGGGAATAATTCTGTGAATGTGCTTGTAAGTGTGGGCAGTGCTATGTTCAACCAAGAAGCGATAGGCGCTGCCATCCGCAAACTCCATGTCAACCTGCTTCCCTTCATTCACAGGAGTGGCCACGACGATCCTCATGCCACGAGCTGCCCCAATGGAAGATGGTGGCCGGAAACTTGAGGACATTGCCGACACCAAGGACCGGTTCATGTTCCATCCTGATCCTGCACGATGGGTCCAGGCATGGTGTGGTCCCTTGGTCAACGATTCATTCAAGAACCTTGTTGCTGATCTCGGCACAGAATTGTGCTGTTGGTTCGCAATGTCCACAAACGACTTGACTCCTTTGATTCCTGAACTCAATGTCTTGCTTGTCCACTTGCTTGCCCTCATTGACAAGGCCTTCGAAATCCTGACACTCTGCCGCCAGGCACTGCACCAAGCAGTTGCCCTCAATGGCTATTCAAGGCAAACCGGTTTGATCCGAAAGGTAGCAGTGTGAAAATGCCTTGAGCACGACGAGCACCTCTACATTCTACATGAGTAACATACATGCTGCCTCTTGTTCCATCATAAAAAATATTGCAATCAATTCCATCAAGTCCATTGAGAAACAGTTCCACACCTCCAAGGGACGTTCAGGGCACATCTTCAAAGAAAAGCTACTGCAGTCCTGAAAATGTGTCAGAAAACAAATCACCAAACAAAACACTTGCAGCTCTGATCTGTTGAACGCTTATATAATGAGCGCGAACTTTTCCAGGGCATTATTTTGATAAGTCCATGGAGTCCATGGCATCAAAATACGACTGCAGCCCCAAAAGGATTGTCATTTCGCTGGCATTTGGCGGACTGTTGATGAAGTCCGCCTCTGATTGCTGTTTGTTGTTGAAAAAGGCACCAAGACGTGTTTTCACATGCTTTTCTGAGAATCCAATACCACTACCGACCTTCTCTGCATGCTGCATGACGAACAGTACAACAACATACATGCAATGGTTGTGCTCCGATGAACATAGGGTCATACAAAATCATTGTAGGTGGTTGCTGCAAAAGTACAAGCACACTGGACACTTTTCTCTCAACTTACCGAAATGACAACACAAAATGAGGTGAAGCGGGTGTGCAACGGCGACAAGGGAATGCTGGGCAAGGCAAGGAAAAGTGAAATAAGCTGATGCAAGCAGCCTTCATGAAACGACAGCTCAGCAGAAACTCTTGAGAAATAAGGCTTGAAATTCAAATTCCAGAGCTTGAAAAGAACTGGAGCTGACTGAATCTGGAACCCGTGACCGCGGTGCCGATGCCTTACCCCTGGATGCACATGCCGCGGGTGATTGGGGGTGAGGTGGCGTGACGGTGTGCATCTTGCTTTTGTGCGTGAGGATATACCTCACCTCGGCCCTGAGTCATTCCTTACTACGGTCCAGAACCATATTACACTTCGGATCTCGTTCCTCTTTGCCCGCTGTTCTTGCTCTTTTCTCACTAGTTGAACGGCTGACGGCCCTTTTGGTTTAGCCATTGACGCACACCGCATCAACTTTATCCTCGTGTGGATGGAGATGATGGAGACCTTCAAGAACCCAGCTTTTGCACTGTGTTTTGCCTCCAATTTCGTCAGAAGGAGACTTGTTGATGCGTGACGTCAATGCTCTGACCTCAACTCTTGGTTGCACTACTTTGTGTCTTGGGGGTAAACCAAGCCGAGATTGGTGTCCTCGCTACTGACATCTGCTGTTGCCGTAGCGTTTTTGCCTCGGCTCGCTTTCTTGACCATGATGGAACGCCCTTAGCCTAGTGGTCAACCTACTGAGCTGCCAGCAGTGCAGCCTTTTTGCTTCTGGAGGAAACAACGTTCTCTTGATTGTCTACAATGAGACTCAATGTTCTCAGTACAAGGCAGTGACAAACCATTGCCTGTGCACGCTCTGTTGTGTCTCGGATACCATTGTCTGGGGTGCTTTTCTTGTGCAAGATCGTGGTCCGCGTCTACTGCCCTGTTCTACAGTAAGCCTCCCATGGGATCTTTGCCCTTCTTTGCTCTACGGTGGCTCCTCTCGACATGGCTGGTCTCTATCTTTGCGTACCTTCAGACGCTTTAACGAGGAGAGACAGTTCCTTTAGGGAATTGCCGCCTTATCTTTGCACTCGGAGACCTCTCCCTCATGGGAGATTGCTTCCAGAATTTGTGTTTTTGCCCTGCTTCGGCTTTAGGCCTGGCAGCACCCACGGCATCAACCCCTGAGATCGGGTGGAGGCCCACCTACGGGACGGTTTGAAGAATCTGGAACCCGTGAAGCTGCTGGAAAGTGTACTTAATCTCTTTGCAATGCGAATCCTGTCCTCTGGCGGGTGTGATTTCCAACCTGCTTGTCAGCAAGTTGAGGCCGTGCTGGGACAAACAAGACTGGTCCAAGTTCCCAGAACATGTTCGAATGAAATCAATTTGAACTGATGCCATCTGCAAAGCCTCGGCTGCGCCGGCTGCGCGCTATAAAAAATCATTGCACTCAATCCAAGTACTGCAGTCGATGAGCTCGGATTCCACACGTTTGAACTCCGGAAAAATCGATACAATGTTTGAACTTGCGGGTTGAGAATGATACAATGCCCTTCTTGCCTCGACGCAAACGCCTCTGAATGGAAACATCTGCACAACACTGAAGCCAAATGGCTGCCTCGAAATCACAATAGAATAAAAGGTGGTGTGGACGCTTTTCAAGACCACTAGAAACAATATGTTCTTCAAGTATATAGGGCCCTTTGTCTCTGGCTGTCTCTAATGCACGCTTCGCAACCTTGGACCAAGCAGGCTGCGCATACACTACCGGAAGATACCTGAAATTCACTGGGGTAGGTGCTTTTGAAACCAGGAGGATGATAATCAACGTTGCAAGTGCTGCTGCTATATAAGTTGGCCTCAGTCCGATCATCGGAGTCCAAATGCTCTGTGATAGCATTGTTTCAAACCAACTAAGGTCTCAGGCAAAGGTAGGGCTCCACCAGATTCCACCACACTCCGGGCGTGTGTGGCAGCATAAACAAGCCTTGCCGTAGACATGTAGCGGTTGGCGCATTCCCCTCTTCCTTCCGCTCCAGACCTATTTGGAAGCATACCAACACAATCTTGTGGTTGGGTGTGTAGCTGCAACAACTTTCCCTCCACCTACCACCTAAGACACACTGTTATGTTGATCTCGATCTCAATAGTCATATTGTGCATTTCACACGGATGTAAAGCATTTGGCATAGGGGCTCACAACGTGGGGTGATCGCAAAATGAGTATGGTCGTTACACTGTCCGCTGCGTCGCGCCCGAAAAACATGCACGCAGTGCAACATACCTGCTGACAAACATCATATGTGCAGCATCATATGCGCACATCTTCGACGTCACTCTTCAGGCATCTCGGACCAAGATTGGCAACCACACTATGGATCAAGGTGTACGAGAGGAACCAATTAGTTTAAGGTTGTTGTTCACTTGATGTGCGTCTAAAATGCAGGGTGTAGAAGTTTCTCACTCCACCATACAAATAAGAACAATTCAGATGTCAAAAGCCGAAGGTCAAACGAATGTGATCGAGAAGTCTCCAACTTTCAAGTTGCAAAAGCAAACGCATGACTGGTGACTCACAACCTGAGCTACGGTTGGAATACACTCAGCTGTATGATTTTCGGTTGCCGTGCGGGCCGTGCGTTTGCATAATTGCACACTGTCCCTTCTGTCAGTGCCAAGGCACCAAGGTTTCCACACATACACACACTTAGATGGTTGCTCGCAAGAGCTAGGATCAGTACGAAGTCCCCCTTGACTGGAAGAAAAGTGCACGAACCGAAAGGCGAGGAAGTCCGTAGATTTGAAGGTGTTTAACAAGTTGTTTTGGTGCATTAGCGGTTTACTGCAAAACACAGGAGTAGACAGCTTGATAACACCACAAAACTGGCAAGGCCTAAAAATGAGTTGCAGGTACGTTTTCACGACAGCTTGGATGGGTCTTCATTGGCCCATGCCATCCAAGTGTCCATGGGCCCCCTGCTGCTGTACAATAGGGAGTTGTTGGAAACAATCCAAAAGTAAAAAGTCGTAAGGTGGAGATTGAGAAATCCTTAGAGACAGGCGTTGACACACACACACACAGATGGCCGTGGTCGGCGCTCTCTGTGGGGGAGAGAGGGTTCAAGGAAAACCTCAAAAGTGAAGAAGCTCGGAGTGCGGACTTTTTCGTAGTGCTTGCCGACAGCTGTGAAGATCGTGTCCTTTTTGGACATATAGGTCTGCTAGTTGAGCGAGCGCTTGCTCGACAGCCGAGGACGGGTAGGTGTACTTGCGGATGAGATGTGCTCTGGAGTGAAAACCCGAAAGTCGTAAGCGTGTGGAGCCAGCTGAGGCGTGATCGCGAATTTTCCATGAAGCGTCGGGTGGCGTGTAGGTGATAGTCCGTTGGTGAAGGTCCACATCAAAGCCCAGTAGTAGGTGCATGTCCTCCACTGGTTCGAGCTCCACTGGGTTGCCGTAGAAGTCTGGGTGAATGAGGGTCTGGATGGCGAGGTGGGTGAGGAATGTCCGGTTGAAGGCTATGAAGCGGTTGTCCACGTAGCGGTAGTAGACAAAGTGGATCTCGGTGTGGTCCGTCAAGGAGTGGTGGAGCTGATGCCATGAGTGCTCGATGAGGGCGATAGCGACATTGCGCAAAGCAGGAGAGAGCTGGGAGCCAATCCCGGCTGAGCGAACCTGCAGGAAGTATAGATTGCAAGCCTCAACGTTGCAAGAATCGAGAGCTAGTGCTACGATAGTGGTGATGTCGCTAGTGTCCAGTGTACGATGATGGCGGCCGATGTGGGCTAGTTGGATTGGATCGCCGGTTGTGTGGGCGTCGACGGTGATGGTAGGAGTGTCAAAGGTATGTTGCCAGCGGTTGGCCAAGCTTTGAACAGCGTCGACTAAGCGGTCCTGAGGGACGGAGTTGAAGAAACCCACAAGGTCATCGTTCACAGCGTAGAGGTCCACATGATCTGGAGTGTGATGAAGGTGGTCGTGGAAGTGGTGCCATAGTTGTGGTATCGAGAGCTGTCCTGGTGATTGAGGTAGGAGCCGGTGAATCATAGTGTTAAGGACATTGGATGTGACGCGCAACAATGGCCCGTAGTAGGACTTGAAGTACGAGACGATAGCACGGCCTTTCTTCCATTGTTCCCGAGAGCGTCTGCGAAGGGTTCTTCGACAAAAAACATCTGCAGAACTACGTCTCATCTACATCCTCACATCTTCACCTCTGCACATCCACATTCTCACCTATATCTCTGCTCATCTTCACATCTACATTCACAACTGCGCATCTACATCTCTGCTCATCTTCACACCCTCACATCTACATCTCACAACTTTACCCCTCATCTACATCTCACATCTTCACCTCTCGCTCTTCTTAACTTTCTCTCTTAAGGCCGGGGGCAG